TTCGAGGGCGCCGGCTCCTGCGAGTTCGACAGAATTGAGGAGCCGTTGAAGACCGTGACGCGCCGCATGCAGGGGCTTCGCAGACACCAGAAATCGGAGAAGACGGAGGCCCTACTCTATGAGATCACGAAGGCTTTGCGGAGTGGTAAAATGGCAGACATGCACAGACTACGGGTCGCATTCTCGGGCACGGGCAAGGGTTCCTTGTTCTCAGCCAGGCAGACGATGACTACGACAGAATTGGAACTGGGATTGGCCAAAGTCCTTCAGAACGGAGGAGCGCAGTGCACTCGATTGAACTGGGCAGATTGGATCGGTGATCGCATTTTTTTGCCACATTTGCATCAACACCCTGACCTCGCTGAGCTCGTGCGCAGCGACAGGATGGGCCAGATCGGGCATCTTCGCCGGGCACCTAAGCGTCGTACTGGGCCGTCTTGGGGAGTACTAGCAGAGGCCCTCGGCATGTGCATCGATTATCGCATGTGTCGTTTTTCAAGGCGTGTGACATATACGCCAGAGACGTTCAGCAGGCGCTACAACGATTTGTTAGCTTTGATCAGGATCGTCGGATTCGCCCCGCTCGCGTCGCCCCGCTCGCAGTCGTTCGCGCAGGCCAAAAACAATGGCAAGCTAGGCATCAAAGGGCAGAGGGCCCCCCATTGCTTCGACGCGTTCGGCATGTCGCTATTCGGTCACCTCCACAAAGTTCCTCGTCGACCCGCACCCACTGATTGCGCTCGCGGAGGTTTGCGGGGGCGGAGGAGGGAGGGGTGCATTTTGTCCCTTTCGGCGGCTGTGTGGAGATGCAGAGATGGGAAGTTTAGTCGCGCTGTCTCGAACGTCTACGGCACGAACGCTTTCGCGCGCACTATGAGAGCATCATGCACAGCGCGGACGCACAGAAAACGTCGGGCTTCTAGACCAGGCAGTCGACATGGCCAGCATCCATGCCACGGGAATCGACGGCGAGATAGACCTCCGCCCCCCCCCCCCACACACACACACACACACACACACACGCGCGCATAGGCACCACCATGGGGCATTCGATTGCAGTGGGGGACTTCGTAGACGTGCATTCGCAGACAGTTGCTAGCTAGAATGATGAATTAGCTGGATCTGATGTTAGCTATAGTTGGCTTCGAGGTCCCTCGGTGACCGGCGGGGGGGGGGGGCAGGTGGACATGGGGGTCGGCCTCTTCGTAGACGACGCAACGAGAGTACATGTGCACGCGCGCGCACCACATGGCAAGTACATTGCACAGCAGCTGAATCACGCAACAGAGAAACTGCAAGCACATATACAAGTCAACGGACATCACCTGAACGCAGATAAGACGAATCACCTCGTTGCCCTGAGCGGAGGCGGCTCGTGCCAGACCGCCAAGGAGCTCGCCGGGAACAGTTTCCTCCGGGGAGAAGTATGCCGAAACAGCCGCGTCTTCGGGCCCATCCTCAGTTTTGACGGCATGCTGAGAACCGGACTCAAACGCAGAATCCGAGGGGCTCGAGCAGCTTGGCGATCTTTAGGCGCAGTGTGGCATCAACCGCTTCATCGCAGGCAGTTGAGGACTCTCTTCGTTTGTTTCGTGTGCAGCGCGGCCATCACGGGATTGACGGCCTTTGTGTTGCCGCCAGAGTTTGCCCGGGCGCTGGGCGCCACCCTCGCCAAGTTACTTAGATGTCTGATGCGTGGACGAGCTAGGCGACGGCGCGGAGATCGTGCCCGAATACTTAGCAATGCAAAGGTTTTCGAGTATCGGGATTTATGTGACACAGCCGCAGAACTTCGCGCGCAGCGCTTGCGGTGGCACCAGGCCATGGCACGAGAGCCCGATGATCATAATCAGGTGCTCATGGCCATTGTCGGCACCGCGGAGCTAGACCGTCAGCTCGGACGGTCACGTCTCACTCCTGGGGGGCGCCTAACTCAGTACAGCACCCCGTGGGCGCGGCAGTGCAAGCAATACCTGCTGACATTGGCAGCGTTGGACAGCACGTTCGGATACGATTGACAGGGGCGTGAAAATGTTCTCAGCGTTTTTACCAACAGGAACCTCGCCCTCACTTTCTCCAAAGTAGTCATCTCCATGAACAGGGGCCCCCCTGCCCCCGCAGGTGCAGCTAGAATGCTACGGTTGCAGAGGTTGGTTAGACTCATTGCGTCTGAGGAGATGGGGGGGGGGGTCGGCCAGCACGCAGCGACGCACGAGCACGACGGCGCGAACAGCGAGCACAGCACAGTTATCGATGAATGGATATGTACGCACGAGAAAGACGACGGGACCCCTTGTGGCAGCACGTTTCAGACATTAAAAGGTTTGACGGCGCACATCGCACATGCGCCCACGCGAGGAACGTGCACTCCATGCTCATTTGCACGAACGTGTGTCCCTGGCGCAGAACAGCCTTGGCCTCGCGGGGGTCACGTTTGCGACGCTGCCTCACTATGGACAAGAGAGCGCCGCGCACCTGCCCTACCCGCTCTACGTCCTTTGCTTTTCGGCCCATTGAGCAGCCTACATGCGTGCGCGGCTACTGCGCCGCAGGGCATGCCGAACTGAACGATCACCTCGAGCACGTTTGCGCTCGCGTTGAAGGGCCCGATGGCGCAGAGCTGGAGGGCCACGACCGACGGGCGACGAGCGAGAGGGCCCTCGGGCGGAAACCTGCCGCAGCCTTTACGCAAGTCGGCCCCTGGTGAGCCGAAGAAGCCGAGTGGCAAGTCCGACGGCTTCGAGGGGAGCGGCGAGGAGCTGCTCGCCATGGAAAAGCTGACTCTCAGCAACGCACAGCAGATGCGGGCCATCGCAGGCAGTCTCCGGGTTTTCTTCCTGGTGGAGGGCGGCGAGCATCCAGCGATTCTGGCGGGGGCGGGGGCCGGGGCCAGATGCGCCGAGCGCAGCCAGGCGGGCGAGAAGGACATGGGCTCCCCACGCGTGCACGTGGCAGTGGAGTTCCTGGGGGCGCTTGGCAGGATGGACAACTTGCCGCCGCGATCCAGAGCGACATGAAGAAGCTCAGCCTGGTCATGGACGTGATGGAATACGACGAGCTGGCGGGCCTGGTGAGGTACCTGCGAGTCAAGAAGGCCTAGGCGGAGCAGGGGCAAACAGAGCGCTGGAAAGTACACATCGTGCTGAACCCCCTGGGCATGACGCCGTTCACGTCAGAGAACGAGGCCGAGGTCAACAAGATGCGCGAGGGGAACACCGAGGAGCTTCTGAAGTGCGACGCGCTCAGCATCCCGAAGATTCGCAGCATGATCTACACGGCGATGAAGGCCACGGGCGGAACGGCCATCGCGGGCGCGCCTCCTCCCACGGCGCTCGAGAGGCAGGTTCAGAAGTTCGTCCGCCAGCGGCAGGCCACGGCGTAGATGTGGCAGGACTACGCCGAAAAGGCGCAACAAGGCAGTGTGAGGGCAGCGGAACTGCTGAAGCGCCTCGGAGGGAAACCACCTCCAGGCAGGCGGAAATGATCGGGGTGGGGGAGGGGGAGGAGGGGAGTGGTGGCCGTCCAAGGCCGCGAGTGTAGGAACACATTCGCTCCTACACTCCCCGCCGCCGTGGCGGCCATCGAAGGCCGAGTGTGTATGATCCAATTCGATTCTACACGGAGTGATGCTTTCTGCCCGGATTTATTCAGCACGGTTGAGACTGTGCCAACCTAGCTGAGGGCCAAGGGGCCCGTGCGGAGATAGGACGGTGACCTGTTCGCGGCGCTGAGCAGTGTATTGGTCTGTCTAACATAAGATGCAGGCCTCGCCTGTCCCGTCCTCGTCGCCACTACCCCGCTGGACCCCTGGCCCCAGGTCCCCGCCCCCTCCTGGCGTCCTGGCCTGGTGTCTGGAGGCGACTCTAAGGGGCCCTAGGAGATTACATAGTCTGACTGGTTGTTGTCCTTTCTGAGTGGGCATTGCCCACAAACCACCTGGCGGGAGGAGGGGGTGGGGGAGATTGGAGTGGGGTGGAGCTACTCTTGCAGCAACTCTGACGCGTCGAGGTTTTAAAAATCAATTTGAAGTTTGACAGCCCCGCCCGAGTGTAAGGGGGATGCAACATAGTGTGATCACCGCTCATCCGTCCAGAGCTGCAAACGTCGGAGGGAATTCGGCCCAGTGTCGAAGCGGGCCCGAGAGGCTCAATAGGCCACGGGTCCCGCAGGCATCCCTCTGCCACGCCGAATCATCTAGCTAGCAGCGAATAGCTCGAGTTCCAGGCGAGCAGCCTCGTTTCAGCCGTCGAGACATAGGCGAACCGAACTGCCAAGGCTTCCTCCTCCTCCTCCTCCTCCTCCTCCTCTTCCCCCTCCTCCTCCTCCTCCTCCTCCTCCTCCTCCTCCTCTTCCTCCTCCTCCTCCTCCTCCTCCTCCTCCTCCTCCTCCTCCTCCCCCTCCTCCCTCCTCCTCCTCCTCCTCCTCCTCATCCTCTTCCCCCTCCTCCTCCTGCTCCTGCTCTTGCTCCTCCTCCTCCTCCTCCTCCTCCTCCTCCTCCTGTGGATCCTCCTCCTCACCCTTGGTTCCTTCGGTCCCCCTCCTCATCCACCTCCTCTGTTTCCTCTTCCCTCCGACTCCCTTGCGTGTTCCTGCATCCGACTGTTTCTTCCATCATGATCCTGCCTCCTCCTCCTCCTCCTCCTCCTCCTCCTCCTTGTCTCCCGCTCTCCCTCCTGCTCCCCTCTGCTCCTCTCGCCACAGCGCCTGCTGCTGCAGCTGCTTCTCCTGGGCCGGCGATCCCCCTCCCCGCCTCCCCCCCCCCTTTTCCCGTGGCCTCCGTTTTTCAGGTAGTCGCCGAAACTGTTGTCGTCGTCGCCGCCGTTTTCGCCGTCGTTTCCTCGCCCGATCCGCCCCGTCCTCAGCCGTCCCCCGCCCCCCCCCCCTCCTGGCCTCCTCCTCCTCCTCCTCCTCCGCCTCCTCCTCCTCCTCCTCCTCCTCGTGTTCGCCGAAGCCGTTGCCGTTGTCGTCTCGTGCGGCCGCCGCTTCCCGGGGGGGGCCAGAACGCTGGTGCTGCACTCTTGGCGCAGCTCCAGGCGGGTGGCAAGGCATCGGCTGCCCCCGTCAGGGAGGAGGGATAGAAGGGAGAAGGAGAAGGAGGAGGAGGAGGAGGAGGAGGAGGAGGAGGAGGAGGAGGACGACGAGGAGGAGGAGGAGGAGGAGGAGGAGGAGATGCAGGATTAGGAGGACGAGGAGGAGGAAAAGGAAAAGGAGGAGGAAGCGGGAAAAGGAGGAGGAGGAGGAGAGCGAGGGAGAGAAGGAGAAGGAGGAGGAGGAGGACGACGAGAACGAAGAGGAGGAGGACGAGGACCAGGACCAGGAGGACGAGGACGAGGTCGAGGACGAGGACGAGGAGGACGAGGTCGAGGACGAGGAGGAGGAGGATGAGGAGGACGACGACGAGGACGAGGGGGTGGAGGAGGAGGAGGAGGAGGAGGAGGACGACGAGGAGGAGGAGGAGGACCAGGAGGACCAGGAGGATGAGGGGGAGGGGGAGGAGGAGGAGGAGGAGGAGGAGGAGGAGGAGGAGGAGGAGGAGGAGGAGGAGAAGGAGGAGGAGGGGTTTGGTTTCTCGCGAGGGTTTCTTGCGACCGCGTTCGCACGGTACCCAGAGCCTCCCGTTCATTTGTGTTGGACGTGCCCGCAGAGCAAGAGCAGCGCGGCCAGCATCGATTCGGACCAGCTCGTAGCAGAGGTGTTCACAGAACAAGAGCAGCATGAGTGTTGGTGCATCGAGGACTCAGGAGGACTCTTAGTCAGCGGCGTGGACGGCGGCGTTCTCCCCCCCCACGTCAGCGGCCAAGAGGAACTTTGAACCAGTCGAGCGGAACAATGATGATGAGGATGATGATGGGGTCACCCCGCTGGCCATAGGCTTTTACGAGGAGCCCGCGCTCGCGTGTGGGGGCGCGTCTGGCGGGCCTGGCGCCCACAATCCAAAGCTGCGCAGAGTTGGTCTGGGCTTCGCGCTGGTGAAATCCAAGTGGCCCGTGCAGCTTGGGAGGGGAGTAGGAACCCCCTGCCTGGCCGGCGTCAGACAGAGTTTCGGGGAGAGGTAACAATTTCTGAAGTCAATCTGAGAGCGACTAGAGGACTGGCCGGTTGTGCACGTCACCGACTGGAGTTGTCCAGATCGTTTTTCCCAATCAGGTCGACAACAGATCGATAGAAGGCTTCAGATACTGACCTGCTGTCCTCCGTCGGTCAGCAGGTGCAAGGCGAACGAGGACCAGGTGCCGTAGTCGTTTTGTTCCTGAATGCACACATGTTCGAAGCAGGGGCTCAGAGTAAAGGTTCAGCGAGTTGGCTGAAGGGTTTGCTGGTGACGCAGCCCTAGAGTGCAGAGCTGATGACCAGAATCGTTTCCGCATGGCCTCCCGTGGGTCACGTGCCGAGCTCGTGCGGAGGAGGTTGCTTCGGGCCACTATGGATTGTATGCAGTTGAAGCACTGGTCGCGTCGTGAATTGGAGAGGCATCCCCGTCCCATCCCGCCCACCCCAGCCACTGCCGCTCGGTTTTGTACGGCCCGCACCCTCGAGAAGGATGGGAGGTCCTGCTCGACGTGGAGAGGGTCCGCGTCCAAGAGGCAAGCAACCCAGTGGCTCAAGTCCAAACGATTGAATTGTAAAGGCCTTTGGCCTGTGCCGCCGATCCAGGACGCTCCACGACGTTCGTGCGCTCTTGTCCTGTTTAGGAGTTTGTGAGTTTCACTTCGAGCACTCCACTGGGCTTCCAGGTACACTGTGCGGGGCGGGGGCTGGCCGCACTCCGCGCGTGATCTCTTTTGCCGCCGGTGGCTTGGAGCTTTCTGGCCTCGTGGAGCATGCGGATTTGATTCGCCCTGACAGGATGCGGTCCCCTGGCGAGCGCGTTCCACTACTCGCAAAGTGCCTAGGTACCCGCAAACGTCAGAAAACCATACGTCTGCCTTTGTATAATGTATCTTAAATCTCCTGTGACGGACAGGCCACCTGCGAGTAGCTACTTTGCGAGTAGTGGAGCGCGCTTGTCTACTCGGGGGGACCCCGCAACGATGGGGGGCCCCAGTTAGACTCCCTGCAGGTGCTGCGAGGCTGGCCCCCCCGGGAGCCCCCGCTGGCCCCCCCCCCCAAGTCTTACGTCGGGCACGTCCCTCTGCAGGGGGAAAAGTTGAAGATAGTCCGTCACTACTTTTGAGTTTTTGTGGACTACCTTTTATTTTTCGCCCAAGCTCCGCCTGTAGGGAGACACGCCCGACCTGACTCGAGTCTCGCTGGGACCCAGGGGCGGGGGGGGCAGTATATTCTTTCCAGATCAACCCCCACCGCAGGCAGGGCCTCCCCCATAAGGGGAACGAACAATGACTGATGGGCCCATTTTCCACCACCACTACCATATGTAGAAGCAGGAGGAGGAGGAGCAGGAGGAGGAGGACCTCCTCATCCTCCCTTCTCCGCCGTCCTACATATGGTGGTGGTGTCATCAATGACATAAAACATAAAAACTCGGAGGCCCTCCGCGCGGACTTCTCGGATCCGCGCTGGACCCCCTTGGCGGCGCCTCCAGCGCCGCCCTTGGCGCGCTCCGCGCGCCAGGGAGGGCGGGGCCCAGCGCCGATCCGAGATGTCCGCGCGGAGGACCTCCGAGCTTTTTTACCTTCATGCCATTGCTCGTCCCCCTGGCAAAGGGCCCCCGCTGAGGCCCGCGGGGGGCGGCATGCTGACCCAGGACCCCCCGGCCCCCGCCCCTCCGTACCTCCCCTCCCCCATTCGGCAGGGAAGGGATAGATTGAAAGGAGTCGACTCGACTACGACGCTCTCCTTGTTCTTAACGACAGCGTCTCTCACACCCCGAAGGATCGGCGGATTTGCATGGGATCAATGCTGGTCCCTGGCCTGTGGTCTTACCATTGCTGGGGCGACGAGCCAGATGCGTTGCACCACTTCAGTTCAGATACTCGCTCTGTGAACTCACCATCCCCATTCCCGTCGCCAGTTCCCTCCCCCCCGCCCTCCCTCCCTTCCCATCCTCCTGCGACCCGTCACGGCCTGTAGTCTGGTTGTGTGTGTTTTTGCCGTCGCTCCCGGCTGCCGCACGCGCCATCTTGCCCCAGCGCCTTCTCGACGCAAGGCTCCCGTCCCTCCGCCAGTCCTCCACCCCACGCCGCGCTCGCTCCAGCCTCGCCTCCCGCCCCCCTCCCGCAGACGGCCTCCGAGCAGGCCTCGGCGGCGACCGCGGGGAGCGCGCATCCGCCGGCGCGCCGGGGGGGGTCAAGCAGTGGACAAGCGTCCCGGCGTGCCTATAGGCCTACCAAACAATGTTCTAAGAACCTTTTGTGGTTTCCACGAAATATTCTTAGAACATTTCTGGCTGGGACTGCCTTGTTTTAACACATCGGGTATTTACTCTGAGGACATTGTTTCTGCTCTTGGAACATTTCGTGGTAGGACTATGGGAATGCCAAAACGATCGGTCCCTGCTCAAAGGGGGAGACAGGCACAGGAGGGGACACATCGACCTCGAATCGCCCGTGGATCGCCGAGGGGGGTCCGAGAGCCCCCACGCGCCTAGGAGGGTGCGGACGCACCCCTGGGGGCCTGTCGCCGATCTCTGGGCGGCGTACCGCCGGTTCCAGGTCGATGCCAGTCCCCCCCCCCATGCCAGTCCTCCTCCTTTTTTTGGACTTGGAGTCAGGATGATGTGCACGAAGCGCCACCCGCCAGGAAAAGGAACACGAGAAAGGACAAGGGCAGGGGAAAAGCGAAAGAGAGCACGCGGAGCATGCGGTGAACCCAGGAGCCTACCAGGGCAGGGACGGGGTCCCGGCACCCAAGTGGGGCAGGGCGGGCCGAGGCCTCGCACCATGTTGCCTCGGGCCCGCTAGGGCTCTGGGCTAGAGAGTTCGCGAGCAAAGTCATTGCCAATGGCTCGCGCGACGTAGGGAACGAGGGGCTCCCAGAAGGCCAAGAAGTCTGGCTCGACCTCCTCCGAAGGGGCACCCCAGACCAGAGGCCACCTCCCCTGGAAAGCCAGAAGGAAAACAGAGGCAGCAAGACGGCACATGCCCTGGGGGTGCGCCTTAGCCCTAGAGGTGCGCCACTGCCAATAGCCCTCAAAGCCCGCAAGGGTCACATGGCCTCGGGGGCCGTGGAAGCACCACCCGCCCCCCCGAGCAGCCCGTGCTGCCATGCCAAGTGACGGAAGGTGAACCGAAAGAAAGAGAGTAGGCATCATCGACGGCGCCCCGAAAAGGCAAAGGTCGGTGAGGACCCCCTCAACCTCGGGCCGTCCGAGGAGAACCTCCAGCACGTCGAGCTTCCACGCCGAAGGGGCCCCCCGACGGGAGGGAGGAGCAGCGTGCTCCATCACAGCCGGGATTTCGAGGCGGAGGGCGACGAAGAGGAAGAAAGCCGTCGAGCGGAGCAGGAAGTTCCCCGCCTCAACCTGCCTGGCATCCTTGGGGGAGAGGTCGTCAAGGCCCCACGGCAAGTCAGGGGAGCGGAGAGGCCATGGCGGGGGACCCCTACACGCGGTGGTGACGCGGAGGCGGGCCTGGGACCACGTCTCGCACGGAGGGCCAGCCCAGAATCCAGCGACCTTGCCTTCCGCCATGGCGCGATACCAAAAACGGATCGTCTCAGGTCTCGAAACATCGCCGCGGCTGGGGTCGTTAGCAACGTCAAGGCTGATCACCCACCCAGAGACAGGAGAGGACTCGGCAACCCTCTCAAACTCGTGTTGGATGTCGAAATCGCGTCGGGCCCCAGCGAAAAAATGTAGGAGGTACATGGTAGGCTGGCCGACTGGCCTGGGAACCTGGCCCGCAAGGGCTCTGTCCTCAGCATCAACTCGAGCCATGGGGAAAGGTTTCCAGGCACGTTTTTCCCTCGGGACCTGGGCAGGAGGGCAAATCGAAACCCCAGGGGCCCGAAAGGCCGGCTTTTTCAGCATAGTGTTCAGGTCTCCCCGCTTTGCGGTTAGCTTTCCTGGCTGCGACTATGGCTTCCTTGTCCTCAGCTAGCTGCTCGGGGGTCTTGGGGGGCATCATGGGCCGCCAGGCCTCTCTGCACCTATGACTCCGGACAGCAAGATTGTCCGAGATGACGCAGACTGGGGCGCTGCTCTGGTCTTGGAGACTCCATAACAGTGCCCATATGACTCCGTGTACTTCGACGCTAGTACTTGTCCATCTGGAAGGATCCGAAGGAAACGCTGTATAATCTAAACTCTTAGCTGATACGTAGCCTTGGCATGTGTAGCGATCGCCGATCTGATGCAATACAGTAGAGGCCCATGCACCATTCTCGGGCGATTTGGGGTCGAGAGATCCGTCTACATATGTCCAGGCCCTCTCGGGCTCGCGGGCATCGGCAGGGTTAGTGTTTGCTAAGGCGTGCCTAGTATGCGGATGCAGAATAGTGTCGTTAAAGCGATTCGTAGGCCAATGCTTGAGTGCCATAGGATAGGAATCCAGGGTCCCTCTGACATCGAGCCAAGAGTCCATCAGGCAACTCCTCGAAGCAACAGGGTGCGGAGCGGCAGCGACGCAGTTATTTCGGTCCTCGTCCAGCTGCGTGGCGACGAAGGGGCCAGCCCCAAGTGGGTCGGGAAGGGGGGGGATCGGAAGGGTACATGCAATGGCAGTCTCCCCGTCATAATTCTGGGCCCTGTGGGGCTCCCTGTAAAACTGCGGAGGTGCCTGCTTCCCCCGCAGACGCCGCCTCAGGTCCTGTGGTTCCAGCGGCATCGCGCCAGAACCCAAATCAAAGTACTCCTGGAAATTCATCTGAGCATGCGGGGGGGGGGGGGCCCTGAGTGCCGTGGGTGCTTTTCCCCGCAGCCGCGAAATTACCTATCGAATTGGTATTGGCCTCCCCCTCAGCGTTAGGGTCGGCATGCACAAAAAAGTCAGCCTCTGGCAGGCTGACGGTTGCATTGTTGGCTTCACCCTGGTCCCCTGGGCCCCACGGGGCGCCAAGACGATGTGGGGTTGAGCTCCAGTGGGCCAGCCAGGCGCGAGGGGGACTCATCTTGTCCCTTGAATCCCTCAAAATTCGCGGCGGGTAGCTCACTCTGCTCATTCTGATGATGGGGTAGATGTTGATCTCCTTCTTCGTCGTCGTGTGCCGGCTGGGCGTACGAACAGAAGAAGGTGCCTCCCCACGAGACCGATGCGCGGAAGTTCAGATGTCGTCCTTCATGGTGCCTGGTGCGCACGCCGACTTCCTTGGTGGCTGCCCCAGCGGCCCCCAGTCGTGCGCGTTCTGGCCGTACGCTGGGTCGGCTGGCGATGTGGGGCTGAGACCCGCTGTCTGGTGGCGCTCGGGTGTTGTTGGTGCTGGAGGCACCTGTGCTGCAACCTGGGTCTCTGGTTGAGTCTGCGATGCTAGCTGAGTCGGAGCGGAGTGGAAACCTGGCGCGTAGACTTCCGGGAGGAATGGCGCCGTGGGTGAACGCCCAGCTGCTGTGGCAAAGGCTGGGCTGCGTACCAGCGTAGGCTCCGACGGTGAAGGCATCTGGCTGGGAACCTCGACCTCCGTGGGAGATGGTACCGCTGGTGGCTGCCCTTGGGCTGCCTGCCCTGGTGGCGAGCTGGGACTCGGCACTGCTGTCGGCACGGACTGCTCGGTAGGCGAGGTGCGGTGCGGGGGAGCTCTGGGCGGAGAGGTTGGGCGTGGTATTCTGGCTGCTTCCGCCTGCTCCTGGAGTTCGCGCTGCTTCTGGAAGAAAGCGTCCGTGGCGGCTGCTGGCGGGGTCGGTGCGACCTGCTGGGTCGGAGACGACTGCACGGTGACCGCCGCCTGGCTCGGTCCCGTTCTCCTTGCTGCCTCCAGTTGGGCGTGCAGCTCCCTGATCGTCGCTGGGTCCTTGTAGCCCCCCGTCTCTGGGGTCGGATGGTCCATCCCAGCGGCCTCTGCTGCCGCAATGGCGTGGGTCAGCTCGTGCTGGGCTTGGTGGGGGGCTGGCCCTCCAGGGAGTGGGGCTGGCGGGTGCCCTGGCCCCTGGGCTGGGGGCGGCGCTGCAAGGTTCGCCGTTGTAGGCGCTGCTCCCTTCTGATCTACTGCCATGGGGGCTACCGCCCCCTCTGGGGTAAACCCCACTGCGCTGGCGTCCTTGCCTTTCCCTTTCGCCGCCATGTAAGCTTGGCCCATCGCCGACTTGGACCTCGCCGGCGTGCCCTGGTGCACTTGCTGGGTCTGCTGAGGCTGGCTGAAAACTTGCTGGGGAGGGAAAGTGCCCTGCGTGATAGTCTGCATCTGCTGGATCAGATGTGCTGGAGGCGGTGGCAGGACCGCGCCCGTGACGGACGGGGGGACTCCAGGGACGCCCTGTATGCATGCCCCCGCGGCTGGCTGCACTAATCCCAGCAGCTGGCTGATTTCGCTTTGCTGCATGGCGAGCTGTGCTTGTATCTGAGCCATTTGATTGCCAGGCGCTGCTGGTGGGGGTGGCGGTGGTGCCACATTGTGCGAAGCTGGGCCGTCCGCTGCCTGATGGTCCTGGGCCACGTCGTCGGGCTCTTCGTCCTCGGAGCCTGGGGCATCCTCCAGTTCGGCTATGCAGACGTCGGTCTTGGCGATCTCCGTCTCGACCAGTTTTTCTTGCTGCTTGAACTCTTTGATGCTTTCCCGAATCTTGGCAAGTTTCTCCTTGTACGTAGTCTTCTTGTCCTTGAGGGCCTGGATCTGGTCCTTGCGCTTCTCGGTGAGTCCCATCAGGAACTTGAGTGCTGCAACTTCTATTAGCTCCTGGTCGCAGGGCTTGTTGGCCCGCCTGGCCGCACAGATGAGGTTGGCAACATCGTTTGTGCGGCTCTTGATCTCGTCTTTGTACTGGCGTTGCGCGGCTGGGTCTGTGGGAGGCTTGCCGTAAACCTCGTAGACCTTGTGCGCTTCTGCCTCGCTCTTCGGGAGAGGTAGTGTCTTGGCAATGAGCTTCTTCGCCAGGGGTTCGGGCTGGGTAACCCACCTCGGGGTGGAAGCACTTGCTGCTTGCTGCTGTGGCGGTCGCCCCCGCGATGCAGGGCGTCGTCTCCTTTGGTTGTAGTGGCCATTGCAGCTTCGGCACGTCCAGTGCCGCTCTGATACATGTCGCCCACATGCACACTGCCAGGTGCCAGCCATGTCTTCTGCGCAGTCGGACCGGCGCCGTGGTTGTTGGGCGCTGTGGTGACGTTGGAGCAGCTCACGAGCGCTGACCGCCCTCACGAGCAGTCGCGCTTGTCCGCGGGCTCTCCTTTCACGTCGGTGCCAGGCGGGCTCTCTTGACCGAAAACGCCGCCAGTGCCGCCTGTCGAATGGCGGCGTGACCGCGGCGATGCCGCAGTGGCCGCGGCTGGGCCGCGGGTGCGCTGCGCCGCCTGCAGGCAGCGCTGCCGCGGGGGTCCGCGGGCTATGGCGCGCGCGGGCCGAGGGCCACGCGTGAGGCCACGGCGGGAAGGGCTGCCCCCCAATCCCCAGGCGCGGCCCTCAGCCGATACGCCTTGTCCTCCTCCTCCTCCTCCTCCTCCTCCTCCTCCTCCTCCTCCTATCGCTGCCGCCCAGGGGAGGGGGGGCAGGGCCAGGGCCCAGGCCAGCCAGGGTGACTGGCGGCTCAAGTGCTGCCAGGGCCCTACAGGCCGGCGACACCGACCCTGGCCGGCGACCCCCACCGATGGAGGGGGCATTCGTCGGAGGCGACGACAGGGGCGAGCAGCCCAGGGGGGAGCAATACAGTGTATTTAGGGGCGCCGATGATCTATGTCTTCGACAGGGCTCCCAGGCGAATGCGTGTAATGCCCGCCCCTGGGCTATTCGCCCTTCTCGTCGCCGCCGAACTCGGGAAGATCGGGACCGGACGCTCCCAAGAGTGCACAGCCGGCTTCCGCCGGCGCGCCAGGGGCCAGGGCCAGGGCCAACGGAGATCTGCGGTCCAAGTGCTCGAATGAGGGAACGCCGCACACAGTGGGGGCCCATGCCAAGAGACACCCTGCTTGACTCCAGGGTGCCCTGGGTTTCTTGGGTTTCGATGGTTTTGACGTGGAACGCGTGACGCTCCAACGTCAAAAATCCATGGACGCCCTGGGGCCTCAGGGTTGGGTTCCTTGGAAGGTTTCTTGTGGTCTGGCCTCCACTGCATGCTTACATATGCTGGGAGGCCAGGGGAGGTGTCGACCACAGGTAAGTTGTAAGCCCTCTGGGGCCTGCGCGAGGTGCCGCGTCTGCAACCCCGCCTGTCGTTGGGAGAGTGGCCTCCCGGATTCCATGTCGGATCTGTTCCGCCAGAGCCAGACTGGCGCCCAGGTGGCCCAACGCCTGCTCGTCGCGCGGAGGTCCGTCGGGAAGGTGTCAAACCTGACAGGGCGGCCCCCAGGAAGCAGGCCGCCCAGAAGCTCAAAACACGGAAGAGGGACCTTTTGTCGCAGTGACCTTTGGTGCGATACTGGTGACGATCAGCCATGCGGGAAGCGCACAATCCTTGAGCCGGGTCGCACGGAAGGAGGGTTCAGGCATTGGTTGCCATGAGGAACTGCCCCATCCTTCAGCGGGCACGCGTGGAAGGGGGGGTCAGGCATGAGCTGGTACGCGGGAGGGGCACAAGCCCAGAGCGGTCGCGCATGGAATGATTGTGCGAGCATCCGCTGCCATGCGGGAGGTGCACCATCTTCGACGGGGCATGCGTGGACGGGAGGTAAGGTATCAGTTGCCATGCCGGCGGTGCACCGTCCTCGAGCGGGCACGAGGGAGGTGGCCTCAGAAGGGGAGGGCGGTGCACCCAGAAGTCCGCGGGCCGCGGGTGGAGGGGGGGTGCGGTCACGTGTTGGAGTTCTAAAGCCCTGCCAGACCGACCTTGGCAGTCTTCCACGCCTCAACGTGCCATGGGGGGCACTGGCGGCGCTGTGGCGGATACGCGAGGATCGTTTGTGTTTATGACTCAGGCGATCGCAAACATGGATCAAGGGGGCGTGGATCAGCGACGGATCCCGTTTCCATGGGGAATCGCGGATTTCCGCCGCCGAACGAGGCGGCAACGGCCGCATTTTTGGGAGGGTACTTCCCCCGATCGCTAATCCATGTTTGCGCGCCCCCGATATGATGTGGGCACCCTGTGCAGGTTTGCGCTCGGCCGCGAGGTGGATGTCAGAGGCCATAGTTGAGTCGCAACGGTTTCACGCATACTGTTCCTACAGCATCGTGTGTTTTTTCGTTGACGTCTCCGTGCTGTCGTTCGCCGCAGATGCCAACTTATTCGACGGTGATGGATGCGTCGCATGTTTATCGCATAGATTCTGGCAGAGTTGGCCATAAGGAAAGAGCTGGATTGAACGTGTGACACCTTCTTATACGAGCATGGAGGCCTGTCACTGTGTGGATTGAGGCGTCCAAGGCGAACAACATAACAGAAACTGATACAATAGAGGAGGAGGAGGAGGAGGAGGAGGAGGAGGAGGAGGAGGAGGAGGAGGACGAGGGCGAGGACGAGGACGAGGACGAGGAGGAGGAGGAGGAGGAGGAGGAGGTAGCGGCGGCTAAGGGGACGGAGGATTCGGGGCGGCGGAGGAGGAGCTGCCCAGCACGGGGCCTCCCCGCCCGGTGCCTTCCTCCTCTCGGGGCGCCGCCGCCCATTCTGCAGGCGGGGACGCCGCCGCAGCCGAAGACCCAGGGCAAGGGCAAGGACGGGAAGGCCGCCCCGCCGCGGCCTTCTCGCTGCTCTGTCTCCTGGGCCGCCAGGAAGCGAACGGGTCTTGCGGGAATCGGGGGTGGACAGAACCCCCACCCCGGCACGTCGAGAAGTGAATTGTCCGTTTTCGGTTCTCGAGAGGGCGCCGCGGCCGTTGTTTTCCAGGCTTGCGCCCGCCAGGTTTGGTCCCGAGGTCGTTTTCACTAGTGCACTAAACTACGTTTTGCCAAAGGGGGTCCTGTCCATTCCCGCGGCAAGCGGGTCTTGGGTCTTCGTCGATTCTCCGCGTCATGCCGTCCTCGGAATTTGCCTTCCAGCGGCTGCGCCTCGCCGGGAGCGTTCCGGGGAGCTCCCATCGTTCCAGAAAGCGGTCGCCTGGGCGCCAAGGTGGGGCCCGGAAAAGCCGGACGAGGAGGGGCAACGAGAATCAGTCGGGCCTGTCCCTCTACAGGAGGAGCGTTCAAAAATAGTAACAAATAGTCTCGGGGCGGTTGTTTGTTAGCATGTCTTGGCTACTCGGGGGCGGGTGCCTGCGAGGTTTCTCTCCGCTCTCGGGCTCCCGGGGTCGTGGGGGCCTCCGCGGGCCCCGGAGCCGTCAGAGAGCGACTCAGGATGGAGAGCCCATTTGGGTCGGGGGTGGACAGACCTCCTACCCTGACACGTCGATTAGCGAATTGGCCGTTTTCGGTCCGCGTGAGGGCGTCGCGGCCGTCATTTTTGCGGGTCCAGGTCCGTCGGTTTCGGTCCCAGGCCGTTTTCACTAAAGGGAGGTTTGTCCACCGCCATTTGAGGGTAGGAGAGCCCCCATTCCCAGTAGCAGAGGGGAGGCGAAGCCTCACTGAGGGCACCGTCCTTGCCTCAGGGACTCTGAATCTGGGCGGCTTGATTCGGCACAGCTGTAGGAGAGGCTCCATAAGGTTTCTGGCCCTCCTGACTTGGGTCGCCTCTCCAAGGGTTACGGGCCCTTCTCTGCCTGATCAAAATTTGATGGGCCTGTTTTCCACCACCACCACAAGTTGGAGGGGGAGGGGGTCCTCCTCCTCCTCCTCCTCCTCCTCCTTCTCCTCCTTCTCCTCCTCCTCCTCCTCCTCCTCCTCCTCCCCCTTCCCCCCTCCAACTTCTGGTGGTGGTGGTGGAAAGCAGGCCCAGTCAAAATCTGGTCCCCGGGCAGGCCGCCCAGGGGTCCGCCCGCGCTGGGGCGGCCGCGGCCCTCCGCCCCGCGAGCGGCCCTCCGCGGGGTTCCTGCGCGCGCGGTGTGGGGGCAGCGGGCCTCAGGAGGGAAACACACACACACACACACACACACACACGCACACACACGCACACAGACACAATTCGTCGTCGATCCCCAGAAAATATGGGAAAATATGGGAAGTGGGGGGAAAGACACAAACCCAGAAAGTATGGGAAAATACGGGGTTGGACCTGTCAAAGTACTACGTGCATATCTCGCACGCAGACCTCTTCCAGGAGGCGCTCCTCATGGGGTTCCCAGTGGCGCTGCTTAGATGTTTGTGTTCTAGTTATCGCCTGCCGCGTAGAGCGGTCTGGGGGGCGATCATTTCTGAACCCATGGTAGCAAACGGCACTGTAGCAGCAGGCTGCAGCAACGCCCTCGCATTGGCCAATTATTGGTCCACACCTTGATTAAGAAGCTGCAGTATCGTTATCCGCAGGTTAGGTTTCGTAATTTAGTCGATGACTTTTTGTTGCAGATGATCGGTGGACGGTCCCAGGTGTTAGAACAATTCCCTTCGGCCATGATGGAGCTCGTGGCCGGCCTAGAAAGTAAACTTCTCAAAGGCAATTGGGATGAGACAGGTTATATGACCAGCGCGCCTGACCTCGACGCCGAGCTAGGCGGTCGCTGGGATTTTTGCTCCGACCACAAATGTCAGCAGGTAGGTTTCTAGGCACGGACGCGAATAGCGGGGCCTCTCGCTCTGTCTTGGAGCAGGACCAGCGCTTAGCGAAAGCGAAGAGGGTCTCGCAGCGTGTCGCGCAGTTGCGTGGGGCAGGTGCCAGTGTCAGCACGATCATGCGGGGGTCTCCTACGGCGACGGCGGTCTGGGGGTCAGCTGTCACTGGCATCTCGGAGCACGAGCTCCACTCGCTCCGTGTTGCATCCCTCCGTGCCGAGGGTAGGGCCCCCCCGGGGACGTCGGTGGCTCTGCGTCTCAGGGCCAAGCCAAGGGGGGGCCACAGGGACCCATGGGTGGTCCATGCTGTTTAGATGGTCAAGCACCGGGCGCTTTCGGTGGTTTCCGCGCTGCCCAGGTTGGGGCCTTTGGAGGCCTGTCTGGGGTCGGCCCGGGGTATCCTCCTGTGTCCCCGGCCCTGGTCCCAGGTCGTGGACCCCGCCCAGGCGGCGCTGCTTTCTCTGGCCAGGATCGGGGCCCCACTGCCCAGTGCTTCGGTCTATCGGGACCCGTTTCACGGTGATTGTGATCTCCACCGTTTCTCCCTTGCCTTCGCCATGAATCTTGCTCGGGAGTCGGCATTGGCGGCTTCTGATGTGGCGGCCCTTCGGCGGATGGAGGGCGCTTGGATCTCGCCTCTCCATTGGGCGCCTGTCTCGGCCGTGCTTGCCAGGGAGCACGCAGTAGGGTGGACGGCTCACATGTGCGCGGCTATCAGGTCCCTGGTCGGCGGTCGCCACTGGCCTCAAGCTCGATTGCATTCTCATGGGAAGGCTCTGCATGATCAGTGCGCTCACTGCGGTGCTCGTGGCACCCTCTTCCATCGATTTTACGAGTGTCCCAGGCTGCTCCTGGTCAGACGGGAGCTGCGCCCGCCCCGTGTTTTGCAGGCCGCTAATTTTGTCAGGGGCCTCAGCGAATATTGCGGCGAAATGTTTTCCCGCTGCCTATGGCCGTCGCCGGGTCGCGCCTTCCCCCGCCACGAAGCTCCCGAAGAAAATTGGCTGCGTTTCGTGTGGGTGGTTCCTGGGTGGAGGTTCTTGGGTAAAGTATTCGTGGACGGGTCCGCTTTCAACGCAGCCCACGAAGGGCTCAGCCGCGCGGGGTGGGCTGTTGTGGCCATGAACCCCGCAGGCCAGCTTGTTGCAGCAATGCATGGTGTAGTTCCTTTATGGTTTGCCCCGGCCCAGGTTGCAAGGGACGGGGATGACTACGCCTTCTGCATGCTTAAACGCTTCTCTGAATGGAATGCCGAAGACACCCTCGAGGTCTTCTGCGACTGCTCAGGCACTGTTGAGTGCGCGCGTAATGCTGGCACAGCTTTATCTTATGATAACCCTCGGCGCCACAACTGGATTGAATGGTGGGCCGGCATAGGTCGCCGAGCGTCACTCTGTAAAGTCAAAACCCACCAGTCCGAGGCTAATGCAATAACCGATCATGATACCTGGCTAATTCGAGGCAGCCGGATGGCAGACAAATATGTCAAGCAGGGGGCAAAGCTCTGGGCAATTCTTGAGCGTTGGCCCTTGTATGTTTCAGGTTGTAAGCGAATTGTCAGAGACTGTGCTTTGTGGCATGGACGCGCCCAGGCTGCCTTCGGAGCAACCTGATTCTGACGGCATTGCCGGTACAGCGGATATTGAATTCGAGGATGAGTTTTCGCAGGCCCTCCAGGAGGCTTGCCAGGATGTGGGTGTGAGGCCTTTTGAGCGGGGTCCCAGGGCCATGGGCCATGGGGGCTGTGGGTTCTGCTCTTCCTCTCCCTCCGCCTCCGCCTCATCCTGCTCCCAGGAACTTCCTCCAGGTTTCTGGTGTTCCCTGGGTGCTTAGAGGCCATTCCATCGTCCAGGCCACGGTCCAGGCAGAGGACGGTGCAGCTCTTGATGACATAATATATCGAAGGCCTTACGGCCGATGCCGCTGACCCTGTAGGCAACGACGACGAAAACAATGGAGGTAGAGGAATCCAAGATGCCCTCAGATGGCTCGAAGACGGCGCCAGATGCCTGCGAGGTCGTCCGAAGACAGCACAAGAGGCCTCCTCCAGGATTCGGGAATGGCTCCAGAGAGAGCCAAGATAGGCAAAGAGCGCACTCAAGTGGCCCCCAAGAGGGTTCCAAGACGGCGTCAAGCGAGGTCCAAAAGCGCCCGCAGAGGCTGTCAAGAGTGCCGCCAGAGGCTGCCAAGAGAGTCTAAAAATGGCGAAAGGTCTCCAAGGAACCTTACGATTGGCTGAAGGGACCCGAGGCGGGGGGCTGCGTATCAGAGGGGGGACCCCCCTGGGCGTTGCCCCGGGACCCCCCCCCCCTCGGCGAAGAAGAGATGAAAAGGCCCGCAGACGGCCCCGGAGGACCAACGGAACCCCAAGACGCAGGAAGATGAGAGGCAGGGAGCTGCGTATCCGAGGGGGGACCCCCCCAGGAGTCGGGGGGGACCCCCCCCTGGGGGGACCCCCCCTGGGAGTCGGGAGGGATCCCCCCCTCCGGGAGTTGCCGCGGGCCCCCCCCCCCCCCCCGGCGTGGAAGGGATCAAGGGAACGACTGAAGGACGACGTGGTTCAATTTGTGTGTGGACTCGTGTAAGGACCCTTCGGAAAGCAGAAGAGGCGACGACGCCGTGGGGAAGACGAAAAAACCTCTCCCACACGCCGACAGGGTCGGCGGATATTGAATTGAAAGTTGTGATATCTATGTGGATCAGACTATGTGTTGTAGACTAGATGGTGCCAGATAGGTGGTGCAACCTATGATGTGAACGATCAAAGAAGCGCACAGCATGCGCGACCTTTTTCGTGCAATGTATATGGTGCAATATGTGTGGTGCAAGATAGGCGATGCAGCACATGTGTTGTAATCGACGTTGTGCAATGTGCAATGTATGTTGTGCAGTCTCTGCGGTTATGAGATATAGGTTGTGCAATATATGTGCTGCAAGCTATGTTGTGCAACCTACGTGGTGCAATGGATGTTGTGCGGCAATCGGTGTGGTGCAGCAGATGTGGTTGCGCAATATATGTGATGCAGCCTCGGTTGTATAACGTGGCCGGTGCCGCCGGCCCTGGAAGAAGGCCCCCATGATGAAAGTGACAGCCAGAGTTGTTCGGGAAGGTTGGGGCCAGACGCCTCGAAGAGTTTCCTTGAAGCCCTATGAGGTTGCCAAGCAGCGTGCAGTCAACCCGTCCGTAGCCATTTTGGCTCAAGCTCAAGTGGAGAGGACGGCGCACAGCCCCAGGGCACCGGGCGACAGCAGAAGCGGATTGCGTGCCCTCGAGAGCCATCATGAACGGCTCCAGAGGCCAGTACCAATCGCCCCCAGGCGGAATGAGCAGGCAGCAGCAGCAGCAGCAGCCACAAACACCAGGCGGCGGCGGGGGCACGATGTTCTACAACGTGGGTATGCAGCTGTCTGGTGAGATGGTAAACCAGCTGACGGTCGAGCACGCCAACGAGACCCACGGGCTGTACGAGCAGATTGTTGCTCTCCGGACCGAGCTATCCCGGACTATGGAGCTGATGCAGGGCTTTGTGAACAGGGAGAAGGCGCTCCACGAGATGGTGGACCAGCTTCAGAGCGCTTTCGCAGGCGCAACTCAGGGCGTGATGGACGCGCACGGCCAGTTCCACGCTATGTCGAAGGATGGCTCGATGAAGCCGCCCGATCCTGTCGCCGACGCCCAGGCGGAGCTGCAGAGGATCAAGCAGATCCTCTCGACGCCCGCGATCCCGGCCCCGGATGTGCCGCCACACTTGCAGCAGCTCGTCCGCTGAGCGCGCGCAGCTCGCTGGTCCCTGCGGCGGCGATGTGGACGGAGGAGGAGGGGGAGGAGGAGGAGGAGAAGGAGGAGGAGTGAGGGGAGGAGGAAGAGGAGGATCCCCACGGGTGCGTGCCCTCCGCGTCGCGGTCGGTGTCATTGCAAAGCGCTGGCGCCTCGCTGACAGAACGCGGCACGGGCCATTCATGGCCTGCGCCGCCAAGGCCCCTCATACCTTCGTGCCTCCCCATCCAGAGTGGCCACCTCTATGCGCAAGCACTGGTTCTGGTCAGGCTCGTGGGCCAAGGGCCGGCGTGTGTCTGCCATGCACGTGCTGGGCCTGCGAGACGGGCCTGGCCGGAATTTTTCATCCAGTGCAGTCAGGGGGGGAAGAGGTGGAAGAGAGGAGGGAGGAGCAGGAGCCTTCCTCCGCTCTCCTCCTTCTCCCCGCGAGGTGAAACGGCTGCCTGACTGCAGTGGATGAAAGTGCCAGCGACGAGCCAGTTCCCCATCTCTGCAATTGTTCACGCTTCGCGAATCCCCACCAGCCCATCCTAAAACAGCCACTTTAGCAAAGAGTACCGACTGTCGGGATTTGTTGGTCATCTTTTCAGCAATGATGCCCAGAGGAGTTGCTTTGATTCGATCAGGGAAGTGTGGGAGCATACAGAGAAACGAAGGACAGGGGATGCCGCCATATCCCAAGAGGGGAGGATGGAGGAGGAATCGGAGGAGGAGGTGGGGGAGGGGAGGAGGGAGGAGGAAGAGGGGGGGGGCGGACGAGGAGGGGAGGACGAGCAGAAGGGCCAGAGGCCTCTTGGATGCATCGCGGAGTCTCTTGGGATGTCTTTGGGGAGCCTCTTGGAGGCCTTTTGGGGCGTCTTGGGGGCCTCTTGGCGGCCCCAGGGGCTTCTAGGAGCGTCTTGGGTGCCTTGGGGGAGCCTCTTCGGGCCTCTTGGGAGCCTCTTGGAGGCCGTTTGGGGCGTCTTGGGGGCCTCTTGGCGGCCCCAGGGGCTTCCAGGAGCGTCTTGGGTGCCTCGGGGGAGCCTCTTGGGGCCTCTTGGGGGCCTCTTGGGGGCATCTTGGGGGCCTCTTGGAGGCCTCTTGGGGCCTCTTGGGGCTCTTTGGGAGGGGTCTGGGAGGTATCTTGGGGCCATCTTTCGGGCGATCGATCACAGATGGGGCGAGCATTTTTCTCCCTCCCCCCGTCGGGGCCAGAATCCTCGTGAGGGGTGTCGAGTTTTAGCCCTCCCAGGAGTCGAAAAAGACCCCTCCAACGACCCGCGGAACGCCCTCTCCAGGCCCAGGGGGAGGGGGTAGGGGGAGGGGTACACCCCTCCCCGAAGGGGAAGAAGGGGGTTGAGAACAGAGCGGGCTCGCTAAACCACTCACGCCCAAAGGGCTGGTGGGATTATCATCACCATCATCACCATCCTCATCATCATCATCATCATCATCATCATCATCATCATCATCATCATCATCATCATCATCATTGAACACCATCATCGTCATCATCCACATCATCAACATCGTCACCATCGGGACAGCATCGTCATTATCACCAGCATCATCATCATCAGCAGCATCATGAACCTCGTCATCATCATCATCATTCTCGGGACACCATCATCATCATCATCTTCACCATCATCATTTCATTATCTCATCATCATCAACATCATCATGATCATTAACACCATCATCACCGGGACACCATCATCATCAGCAAATTCAGCATCATCAACATCATCATCATCAGCAGCATCATCATCGGAACAAAATCATCATCACCACCGTGGCCATCATCATCACCATCATCATCCCCACCGTCATCACCATCATCGAGACACCATCATCGTCACCATCATCATCAACACCATCATCATCGGGACACCATCGTCATCATTACCATCATCATCGGAACACCACCATCATCATCATCATCATCATCTCATCTTCGTCATCATGAACAACATCATCAACATTATCATCATCGGGGCACCATCATCGTCAACATCACCACCATTGGGACACCATCATCATCGTCACCATCATCATCATCATCACCATCATCATGGTCATCACCCGGACACCATCATCATCAACAACATCAGTATCATCAACATTTGGCCACCACCATCAAACTCATCATCATCACCTCATCATCATCGTATCATTTGCATCATCATCATCATCGGGACACCATCCACGTCATCATCATCATCATCATCATGATCAACACCATCATCATCATCGGGGCACCATCATCATCACCAACATCATCATCAACAGCATCATCACCAACCTCATAGTCATCATCATCATCACCGGGACACCATCATCATCATCATCATGTTCGCCATCATCATCTCATCATCTCACCATCATCAACAACAGGATCACCAACATCATCGTCATCATCACCGGGACACCATCATCACCATCATCATCAGCAGCAGCAAGATCAGCATCATTACAACCATCATCACTGGGACACCATCATCATCACCACCATGGCCATCATTATCATCATCATCAATATCAACATCGTCATCATCATCATCATCATCATCATCATCATCATCATCATCATCATCATCATCGGGACACCAGCGGGACACTGGCGGGACACCGCGCGGCACCGGTTGCCGGAAGGGAGACTTTGAGTCCGGCCGCGCCTCAGCCAGAGGCGTGACATTTCTCGCCTGCCCACGCAGCTTCGCCTCGCCCGCACGCACGGCACGCACGAACAAGAAACCGAAACCGATTTCCCGGTAGGGGGGCTCTCCGTTCCACTTCGATCTCACCCCCTCACCTCCGATATATGAAGAGCGCGAGAGAGAGAGAGAGAAAGAGAGACAAAGCGAAAACACATATCATGGGTTACATATATGTGTGCAAGACTGCATTGGCGCTGCGCGCCATGCACTTTGGTCCGTCAGGTTCGGCATGCAGGCAGGTTTGACAACCAGGCAAAACGGAACATTTAGCGATAGATCGTTGTTGCATGTTTGGCATCGTCTTGGTATTTTTTTAATTCGCTATCCTTCCTTCATGTTTCCTCTTTCTCTCCCTCATTCTCGCCCTGCCCTGCGAGTTCGCCCCCATCCTCAGCTCTTCGTGCGGATGCTTATCATTCGAGAGCCTCTTGTAAGCCCTACGAAGGTTTTTAAGGGCTTGTTATGTGGTCAACTCGGGGAACTGTAGAACGTCTTCGGATTAGTTGTTCTTTGACGAGCGCTTGCGGTTCCGACGGGGCCAGCGGTCTCACTCGCGCGCCCATGGTTTCACGGAGGTCGGCGACCCCGAGCCCTGATTTACATGCCCGTGGCCCAGATGGGGCTACACGGCCACTACGTGCCACTAAATGTTAATTCTCGGAACCACTACCGGCCACGAAGTGCCACTGCATGGTAGTTTTCGGAACCACTAACGGGCACTAAGTGCCATTAAGTGGTAAATCTCGGGCTACCAAGTGCTGCAAACTTATAATTTAATTCTCGGAGCCACTAACGGCCATCAGGTGGCACCAAATGGTCATTCTCGGAGCCATCAGCGACCACTAAGTTTCATTAAATGGTACTTCTCGGAGCCAGCAGCGGCCGCTAGGTGCGACTAAATGGTAATTATCGGGGCCGCTGAAGGCCAGTAATTGCCACTAAACGGCCACTGCAGGCCGCTAAGCGGCCACTAAGTGCCACTAAATGGTAATGCTCGGCGGTCGCGATGGTCAGTCCGAAGTCCCCCAGAAAGCCCACATACAGCTTGTTGGGGCCTTCTGGAAGCCTCCCAGGTTCCTTCCGTGTGCCTTCCCCAGGCCACCCTGCTTCCAACCGCGGTCTCCCTAAACGAACGGGGCACGACTTGGAACGATTCGTGAGGCGTTTTGGGGCCATCTTGGGCCGTCATGGGGTTCTCCTCGGGCCATTTGTGGGCCTGGTGGGCCGTCCTCCTGGACTGCCTGACAGCCCTATTGTTCAAGCTTGTGCGATGATCTGGCCTCCTGGGCGACCTCGGTCGCCCACAAGACCGAAGCACTGAGCATTCCTAAAATCATGCAAGACCATCGGATCTGATTTTTTTGTTGCGTTTGACATGCCTCTTGGAGGTCTTCTTTCGGTCGTTCCTAGGCCATTGGTGGGTATCTGCCGTCCGGCCGCCCTCCTGACCGATCTGGGCCTGTTGCATGGGCCCAGGACGGGCTTCAGGAGCCCCGGACAGCACAGTGGACCGTCTGAGAGGGCGTCCAGGGTGCCCCCGGGGGCAAGGATTTGGAGGGGTTCTGTTTAGGAGGGGGGGAGTACAGGATCCCAGATAATATAGATCAATAGTGACACATACGAGAAACATTCACATGTATGTATACACCTATATATCCTCTATCTGTATATTCATGTATGTATGTATGTATGTAGGTAGGTAGGTAGGTATGTATGTATGTATGTATGTATGTATCTATGTATATGTATTGCAATGGCGTGCCATAGATTCTTTGTTGCGTGTGGGAAGCGGGAGAGGGCCGCTGACACGTGTGCTCAAGCCTTTCTTCCAGCGAGCTGGGGGCACCTGTCCAGGCAGAATCGCGGATGGTTGGCAGACCCTTCGTGCGGATCCTGGGCGTAGCTACCAACCTGCTGGCGGCCTGGATATCGCGAGCGCCGCCGTGTCCTGCGACGCCTGCTTGTCCTTCTTTGCCGGCGTGCCCGTCGGTGTCGAGCCCCAGCCTCTCGAGCGCCGACCACGACGTGTACGAGGAGCGGTACGGTCAGGGGAACCCAGACATAGTCGCCGTGGTCTTCAGCCCGACGCGCCAGGCGCTGCAGGGTGGGGACCCGACTCTGCCGTGCTGGTTCAGGCGTGAGCCGAACGCGAGGGAGACGGTCGCTATCCAGGACGCTCTCGTGCAGGTAGCCGACCAGCTGTACTTGGACCGCGAGCGCGCTGCTGGCAGGCCGCGCACGCTTCCCGGTGGTGGCTCGTACCGGGAGTTCGACTTCTCCGCAGCCGCCCCTG